TTGAAAGTTCACAAAGATGTACAGGACTTGGACACAAATCCAAAGTCAGCCCATTGTAAAGAAGGTGCATCATAATTCTTTTGAGAGACAGAAATTACAGTGTGCAACTACAAACATCAAAGTTCATTTAAAAGACTTCTGTCCTCCTCAGTCCCCTCTGGTAGCTAATGTGCCATAGCCTACCTCCAGTTTGCTCTTTAAGCAAGATAAGTGAAATTATTCTAGTTAAACCCAAAGAAAACTTGGTTTCACAGCAGAGGAGAAAGAGTAAACAGCTGAGAGGGTGGGAATAAATCAGTTTTGCTGCTACAGGATTGTAACATGGAATATACCCTATGAACATCTTACACAATTCCCATTTGACAGTAATAGTGCACACTCCCTAAAGCAAACTAGGGCAGTCTGAAAAGGGTGTTCTCCTTAAAAAAAATCATAATGTTCAAATTAGAATGCAAGGCCAAAACAGTTTGGAATATTTACCATCATGATTTATGGTATGGGTTTTATGTGCTTACAGGAGCCAAGCACAGTTTCATAAGCAAGAGAAATGATTTTCTTATGAAATTACATGTTATGCATTTTTTATACTAAATAAGACAGGAACTTTAACTCCAGATCTTTGCAAGGCTGAACTTTTCATAACAGTACTTACGCTTCTTCCAGTTTCTCATTTTACGAAGCTTATCAGAAGTTAATGTCTAAAAATGTAATGACTTAAGAGTTCTACCTGTTAATAAAGTTCAATCATTTTAGCAAAAAGCAGCTGAGGAAAAAGATGGACAAACACACACAGAGGGAAAACATGATCACAGTAAGCCCTGTTTCCTTAGCAAACTTGGTTAAAAGTATAAAAACAATATACACAATCCCAGAGACAGCAGATAACATCAAGCTGGGAGCTCACTGTGCCACGTGACAGCATGCCCTCTATTATTTTCACTGTAGAAGAGACTGTACAATAAAAAATATCTGAAATCAGAGCAAAAATGTTCTACCTTCAAGCCAAGAAAAACAACATGGATGCTAGGGAAGGCATAAGAAAAGATTTGAAAATTACTCATAGGATGAACAGTCAACTTCCTTCTCTCTCAAGAGGGGGAAGAAATGAGTTTACAAGCTATCTCCTTCCTTCTTTCCTTCCTTTAATTTCTAATGTGGACATTTCTCCTAGCCATATTTTCTCTCTGTGTCCATGTTAATTTTCCATGGTCCTCCCTTTGTCATTCTCCTGTATTTAGTGCCTCCACTCAGTCCTCAAGCCTCTTGTTTCCTAATTCTCATTGCTCTTAATCAAAACCAACCACGTTCTGCAGAACATGAAAGAAACAGGCTCTGCTTTTAGCTAAAGTCTACAGTAGGTGACCATTCTAACACTAACATGCTTAACATCATCACTTAAAATCAGTATCTGTTACTGAGTAGCAAAAGTGCTGCCAAGTGAAAATGTGTGGCACATATATGTTAAAAATATTTAAAGATTATGTATCTGTAGAGTGAAGCAGTGGGGTTTTTAAATGCAAGAAATTCACTAATATGTGGGGGGTGGTTTTGGATGGCTTACATTGAACTTCAAATAATGCAAGTGAACCATACCTGATCGATGCCTTTTTTGCATGATTTTGGCCTTGAAAGTTGGATGCAGGCAAAATGAAATCTTTAAAGATCTACCCCACTTTACTTTTCTCTTAAAAAAATAAAATAAATCAAAATCAAACACGTTTGGACATTAATTAAACACAGGAAACAGAGAGTTTATACCAAAGCCTATGTCCAAAGACTAAATTAAAGCTTACTTTGGCAAATTGTTCATACTGGCCATTTGGGAGGGGTGGGGAAATTGTTCAGACAGAAGGAAGAATAGGAAGAACTTGCTTGTCTTGGCTACTTTCTCTCATTTTTCCATTCTTTCTTTCTTTCTTCTCCTGTGTGTAACACCCACAGATTTCCTAATGAGATGGTATGCGACCCACCACACACTGCTCTGTGGGTGTAACTTACATGAAAAAGAAATGTAAATTAACACGTAACTTGCAAGGTTATTTATATTATGTGCCACAAAACTGAAAGGTGCTATTAAATAATATTGATATTAAACATAATGTTAATAATAAAAAGAAATTGATAGGTGAAAATTTTCTCTTCAAAATAGGTATGGTAGATAGCCAGCTTGACAACAGCCTTCTCTGCTCAGCAGATCTAGACAGCACGATGAGATCTGCTGATCAAAGTAAAGGAGCTTGGCTTCTATTTCTGAAGAAAATCCTAATACATCATGTTTTGATATTGGAGGGAATCTAAAATCTTACTAATACTGGTCTAATAATTCTGATTCTAATAAATTTTGAATACGTCCTGCAATGCGGGGAGCAAACTAATTATAACTGACCTGATGCAAGTTCAAATAGGGGTGGAATGCTGACCTGGGATACTTTAAGTAGTAAATAACCAGCTAATAAGCATTTTAATGTTCCTTCTATAGATACACTCTTCCTTAAACAGTAGGGGTTTTACAGTAGTGAAATTCTAAATACAGACTTGCATAATTCTGAGCAGAAGAAACCACAGTCAGTCTGAAGAGCTCAAAAACTTTTAATAACCTCCAAATGCAACAATAGCTGCAAGCTTACACATTTCACAAGCAGCACCTACAATATGCGCACAGAGTTAGCCACATATCAAGCTTGGGCATTTCTTTGTATATTACAAAACAGTGTCAGCCAAACACTGGCCAGCTACCTTGCACTTCATCTGTTTGTGAGAAAACACAAAAGCATCTCATTGTACTCCACAAACAGACCCTGTGATTCTAGAGAGGAAGGCAAAACACATGAGGTTTTGGAGACACGTTTGCATGGCTCCAAAACCATTCATTGGAATGATAACTGCTAGAGACTGCTAGGCTTGTGGCTCACCTAAAAGGGTCAGTCCCTTAGAGGCTGGTCCCAGTTGCTCCAGTGAACACCCACCTATTCTGTTATTTCCTTCTCAGGTAAGAACAGACTTGAATGTAACTTGAATAAACTTGATTCTTGGACACGAACAAAGCACTCCTTTCTTATAAATTACAGCCCTGAGCAAAACAGGCTGAGAGAAGAGGAAAGAGTTGGATTTGGAAGTTAAGTTCAACATGAATGCTCGTTATCACAGTTTTCCTCCTTTATTTCTTTAGTGTTAATTTAATGACGGTGGGATTAACTGCAGATAACTGATGGAACGGGAATTCTGCCTCATCCAAAGTAAATATTCTTTAATCTAAAACTGTCACAGATATTACTGTTGATCTCCTCGAGTGCTTAATGTTGATCTCTCATATCCTTAAGTTTTTCATTTTCAGGAAATAAGGGGGAAGAGCCAAGCAGAAGATCAGTTCACAACCCTGGGACAGACTACCAGTGTTTTTACTGAAAACTTCATGCTATAAAAGAGAATCCAAGGCCCTCCCAAATTAGTGTTGTATCTGCCTGCATATATAAAAAGAATTATTATGTCTGTCAGTTTTATTGAACAAAATCATTGTTTTTGTTTTTGAGGTAGAAAAAGAAAATGCAGAAAAACCTCACAAATCTCATAAATTCTGATTCTACCTTCTGTAACATTCCTACGCTTTCACCGTAAGAAAGTTCAAACTGTTCTCTCAAAACCAGAAAAGTACAGGGATCTGAAATCTCATGCGTTTTATAAACATGAATAATGTTTTAAAGGGATAAAATGTAGTTACAACTTGCACGAAAAAAAAGGGCTTGGAAAGCCTTTAGTGTCCTGAAGCACTTTTTTGCTTATGCGGCATTGTGCTGCTGTGGGTGGGAAAAAACCCTCCTGTCATGCCATAACAATCTGGCTCCTGTCTATGCCTCAAATTTTGCAGTAAGCAGCCAACCATACAGTATTTAACCTGTGTTTATTAAAAACGTTAATTATTATCGATAACAGTATTTAAAGCTGCAACCATCAACTAGAATTCTATAGGATTATACCTTTTCAATGACCAAAAAGCTTAAGAAGCAAAGAATTTTTCAGAAATTAATATAATATACATTGAATTCAAAAATTTCTATCAGTATTGTACACTGTAAGTACGTAATTGCATTCATTGTGGAATTCATATTTCAGTAGAGAACTATTTTCATATATTTAAGGAAACATGAGAAACTGTAGCCAACACAAGGCTTTACTACTGCAGCCCTTCTTTTCTGTGATGTTTATAACATGCTCCAGACTGGTAATAAAAAAAAAAAAAAAAAAAAAAGCCATTATTTCCTAAGAACTATTTAAAAATCAATTGCTTGGGTGATAGAACACCAACAGATAAGCCTATCAAGTGTAAAACTTACCACGATGGCCACAACAGCTAATGAAGTAACATGAAACAAAACCTGGCAAGACATTTAGCCCCAAAGCTGATCTAGTATTAGAGCAGAAGCTACACTGATCATTATCTTTAGTTTAAAACATGCATGTACTGAAATTGCACCTATTAGTCTCACCACCTTCACATACAAACAACATCAAAAAAATTAGGTGAATGCTCTTACTGCTGTTCTTTGCACAGTGACTACTCCCAAGGTCATCGATGCTATTGCCAAGCAACAAATGCTGTTTGTCACATCTTAGCATCTTATTAAGGCTGAAGAGATTGTTAGAAGAGGGAAAAGTAAAGATATTATTTCTTAATTAAGAACTTCTAAATGTTCAAGTGAAAAGAAGAATTAATAAGCCAGCAAGATTTCCATGTATTTTGGAGGACACAGGATTATACCATTTATTCTTTTTATTTCCAATGATAGGCTCTTATACTTAAATTCATTTTTCAGTAACACAGAAAATTGAAAACCACTTGTTTTTTTCAATAAAATTTCTGAAGTAATTTCAGACCCAAACACCAGCTATTTCTGGCTTCTTGGCTTTCATGATGGCAAATTCCTCACAGAAAAAACGTAAAGAACAGCAGTTTCCACCTATACTGTATGTTACTTTACTTCACAATAAGTCATTTATTTTACCAGTAAGAAACAGAGGACCAGATGGTGCACGTTCCATTGACTTCCACTGACCACGTCCTTTAGGTGCCTCCAAGTACTGTTTGACCCTTGAAGTAATCACTTCCTCTAGCAGCATGCAGACGTTCTGAAAGAGTAACCATCGGCCTATTTAGATCTATATATGCATATGCCCACAAACACACAGCAGAAATGAATACAAAATCACTCCCTTTCACATAAAAAGGAAAAACAACATCTGCAATTAAGTACTGAGGTATTATACAAATGTGAGAAACACACTTTAGAAAATATGATATCAGGTATTTAAGCAAAGAATTAGTAAAAAATCCTTGCAGATACTGTCAACACTGTATTTGTCTGCAAGAATCCTTATCAACCACAGCAGATACCTTGTTTCAATTTAGGGTAATTCTGGGGCAAAGACTTGGAGCTGATTAGGTCACAGCAACCTAATTTCTCTAGTTCCTTTTGATTTTTCTGCTCCTAAATATAACTGTTCATATCTTTTCATACTTCCTTCAGCAAAGCGTAAGGAAAACCACATAAGAACAAACCCTTCAGCCAGAATAACCATAGAAGAAATAAAAACTTGGAGAAAACACGAAAAATTCTCTCTTGAATACCAGAATAAGTTTTCAAATTAATACATCCACACTTATTTGAGATTTTTCCCACAGTATTCTCATTTTTCATTGTGCACAATAATGTGCTCACAAAAATGATAAATTGTGGCACACAAAAATACCATTTTACCTTTTTATAGTGTTTGGACAAGAGACAAAATTGTTTTAGTAGACTCTAAACTAACATATCTTGGCTTCAAATTTACTTTTGATGAATAGAAAGCATGTAAAGCAACAAATCTTTAACATACTGCTCTGAATGAAAACAATGCACATACACTGGTCAACCAGAAACAGTATTTTCTCTCCTTACAGTAAGAAATACCTTTTTCCTTTCTGCTTGAACAGTAGAATTATAAAACACTATATTTACTTATTCTTCTGTTTAACTCATTAAAGTGATCTCATTACGCATTCCTTCACAGGATTATACATTCAGGTTAGAATGAAAAGGTCTAGAAAGCAGTGGAAACACAACGTGCATTTAATTCCTTCTGCAACAATAAGGATAAGCATGCCCTTCCTTAATTTATGTGTAAAAGAATTTACTTGTTATATTTATGAAAGTATTATTTAAATTCAAGAACTACATTTAAAAAATGTATACAAGCGTCGGCTTTGAGATAATAGTCTGTACGTACTTTCAACCACTGAAAGAACTTGTGAGACCTTCTACATAGAGGGAGAGGGACCATAGCAGTGACATGAATTAAAATCAGTTCTTGAAGTACAAAGATAAAACATTGACTTTGCTATTCCAGGGGAAAAGAGACAGACAGCAAGGCCAGGAAAATCTGAAGGGCAGAGAAAGGGGAAGGCTCCCAATGCCTCAACCTGCATCTCCCAGCAACCCTGAGATGGGTCTATGCACAACACATGCGACACCAGCGTGCAAACCATGGTTGCCACAACACCCAGTGAGACAGCGCAAACTCTTATTTCCTCCTGCTTATGGGCACTCATTTAGTTCCCAGACTGCTGTATGTGCCCCATGTTCCAAGCAGGAACTGGCTGCTCCCTGCTCCTGCTGGGACTGCAGTGTTTGCTACGAAGAGCCTCTGATTTTCCTCCGGGGTGAGCAGGGAATCAGCAGAAATCATGTTTGTGTTACAACAGAGCTAAGAGGCATCTGCTTTTCCCACAGACAAGCAAGAGAGCTGCACCACCATGGCTATTTTCGAGAAACAGGAAAAAAAAAAACACACACCACCAAAATGTAGAAAACTGCTTGTGATGAGTATGTAACAGCTCCCCTAAAACACATATAGGCATAATCTGCCTCTAAGACCTCTTTCTTCCCACTTCAACTAAGATTCTGCATAGGACTTTCAGGAAGAGAATTCAAAGCTATTGGAATCACACTTCTGGGTTGCTGAAAATATGCAACCTTTGTACTTCACTCAAGATCTGCGGTCACAGAAATGCAATGAATGCTGCCCTGTCATGCCTCTTTATTAAGTCAATCATGAGCTAATTTCCTGAAATTCGTATCTTTTGTTTTGGCAGTCTTACAAAATACATTTGGAAAACACTTAAAAGTCAGATAACCAGGATAGTAAACCTGGTTATAAATAGAAAGGGGTAAGGAGTATTCAGTTAGTCAAAAAAAAAGAAGTCGGAAAGATTTCCCCTATTTTCTTCCTTCTCAGCTTAATAAAGCACAAATTGGATGAACCACACACTTAAATATTCAGCTTTCTCTCCCTCGGGATATTCATCTATTGTTTCTTTTAATTCTATTGAAGTGTATTACTTTGAGATGTTTGGGGACGCTCTGCAGTGACAAGTTAATTCTGCCATGATTAGGAAAACTATCTGCTGAAAATTGCCGTAACGGAGACTTGCGGGAAAGTCCACAGGCATCTCAAACACGTCCTGCGCTCATTTTCAACAGAAAACTTCTCAAGTTCCCACCCAGGCTGAAAGAGGGGAAAACTCCTGCCAGTAACTCATCACAAGCTTGTAGCAGAAATCACAAAGAGGCTGATGAATGTTACAGTCCTAATTTTGCTGCTCACTTGATGCACTGATTTTCCCATTTTTCAGCTGTTGTCAGGATAAAGATAGTTTCTTTTCCTACGATGCAACAGTTCTACTATAGTTTGTCATTATGTTTTCCTCCACTCTCTAAATGCAACATCATTCATACTTCTCAGAACAAGAAACAATTAATAGAAAGATATTCCACCAACAAACTCTGTAAAAACCATACCTGTCACAATCTGTTTCATATCACTGAGGGTAATTTACAAACATTCATGAGAAGTATGTTTTTAAAATTAAAAGTCAAGGCAGAAGAATGAGAACAGCATGCACACACACAGAGTTTAAAAAATTAAAAGGCAAATTGAAAGTGGTCATTAGTGACTCAAAAAGCACATATGGCTGACTTTGGGGTCCCACAGCAACCCTTGATGGGTAGGTATAACTAACAATGTTCTCATAACACTGAAAAATCCTGAACAGTTCAAGGCAATCCAACTTTTTCCCTGCAGCCACATGCTTTTGAAGTAGGACTGATATTTGCTGTACCTCTTTCTCATGATCTGAAAACCAGCTGGTGTCTTTACTGGAGCCTTGAGGCAAAATATGAACATCCACCAAAACAGCAAAGTTCCCACACTGGAAAAGAAAAAAAAAGAAAGGAGAAAAAAAATGTTCAACTGTAGCTGCTGGGAAGCACATGTCAAGCAGGCAGGAGGAAAACAATCAGGTAAGCACATGCATCTGATTCAGAGATACAACAGGCACAACTTGAAACTGTGAAAAATTATGAAGTATGGAGTTACAATTTCACCATTGTTTTATTGAGCTTAATGAGAAACAAGAGCACCAGACCTATGTCTTGGATTGCTCACTGAAAAGCTGAAACAGTAGCAACAAACACATGGAATTTTCTTCTGCTAGATGCACTTTTAAATCTGAGTTCTAGGAAATGTTAACAGGTGAAGAATTAGCCATACCTACACCAACTCCCATCATTCTGTTTTCTGAAAATGTAGTACCATACTAATAGTCTAGTTTGCATTTTAAATTTATTAACTCCTTAAAAAACTCAGCTTCTTTAGAAGTCTCTCCAAACTACTTAATGTAAAATCAGTATGTTTAAAGAACTTATGGTGACTACCTAATATTCATTTGTCACTTAGCAAATACTATACTTGGAATGGTTAAATGATAATAAGGCTAACCTATTAATAAAAACTGTATCATAGAATCTTAGAATCATCTGGGTCGGAGAGGACCTTAAGATCATCCAGTTCTAACCTCCTGCCATGGGCAGGGGGGCACCTCACACTAGACCATGTCACTCACCCAAGGCTCTGTCCAACCTGGCCTTGAACACTGCCAGGGATGGGGCATTTACCACTTCTTCAAGCACCCTGTTCCAGTGTCTCACCACCCTTCACAGTAAAGAACTTCTTCCTTGTATCTAACGTGAACTTCCCCATTTTAGCTTAAACCCATCACCCCCTGTCCTATCACTACAGTTCCCTGATGAAGAGTACCTCTCCAGCATCCTTGCAGGTCCTCTTCAGATATCAGAAGGCTGCTCTGGGTGATAATCAGGTACAGCCCAAGACACACCAACTATTTCTGAAATTCCTTTATAGACATTGAGGAGAACCTGACATAGGAGGCTTAATTACTTTCTTTCATCAGTACCTCAGTCATTACAATGAGCTTCTAAAACATAAGGAAGAGTGAATGGCACAAACACTTGTCCTTAGTTCCACTGTGGACCAACTCACCCCTTTTTCATTCCAGTGAAAAAAGATAATATTCCCCCTTTTCACACCCAGCAGTGTGGGGCATTACAAGGTAATGCTTTCCCTTTCCTTTACTGTAACACACCACCACATCTCACTCAGACGCCCTTTATCTGAACAACTTGAAAGGTAAAAAGCCAATTTCATCACTCTGTTTTGGCTGCTTGTGCTGCATTTGTGATGCAATAAACTCACTCTTTGAGAAGACTGAACATGTGCAGTCATGGCAATTGCACATCCGGAATGTCTGATGGAATAGAAACAACATCCCGATTCCAGACAAATCTCAACTCTGTGTGTACAAACCAGCATTAGATCGCTCTGGTTTCAAGTGGACGCTGCAGTGCACTTCCTGTCCTAACTCTCCCTCTCTCCATATTTGCTCTTCACTGAAAAACATCTTCGCTGAAAAACATCTGCAAACCCCACACCAGAATTCCAGCTGCTAACAGAATTAGTTCTAGAAAGAATATGATACCTATTTCTACACTATAGTTGTACATGACCTACAATCTAAGAGAGTACATCTCTATCTTAGATTTATGGTATAGCACAAGTAGAGACTTTGAGAGTACCCTCACCTGTACAGTTAATACAAAGCACAACAAGGTTTAGCATCAATTTTATTAATCATGACAGCCTATTTGATAAAGTAGAAACCTTTGCTTTTTACAAAACACTTAGATCTGTAAATTATCCATGAACAGAACTATTTAAATAATGATTTAAATCTAATTTAAGATATATTTCACCACCAGTGTTGTATTGAAGCTAGAATGCAAAAGTTTGGCACATGAGTCAGGCATTGTGAAATCCTTTTGAGAAACTTCTAAGTTACTTACAGGTATCAGTCATTGAAAGAGCAGAATGCTTTGATGTGTTTTATCAAAAGGCTTCTCTTTCCTCTAGAGAACCAAGAATTACCAGATGGCTGCAACAGCAAACCTCTCTGAGCTTTAAATTGATGACAAAATATCTCTCAAAAATCTCTGGTGAATCATTAGTCAGCTCCAGCAAACTTTTGAGTTGACCACTTAACTTCAAAGTTAGCAGACACTGCCTATTATGAAGTGAAAGCCACTAAATTATTCATGGTTCAGCACTTACAACAATGAACAAGTATTTGGTACATCAAGAAAATTCAAATTACTAAATGCTACATGTTAGCTTGCATAATTTTCTACTGACTACAGAAACTTGACATATAGATAGAGATGCAAAGTATAGACCTGCTTTTCAAGGAGAGATAATGCTTGTAATTATTTTCTTCTGAATGTCAATATTTGTCTCAGTTGCCTTGAAAACAGCTAGGAAAAAAAAAAAAGAAAATAACAAGCCACATTTGAAACCAGATAATGGAACAGTTCAAAATAGTCTTCAAAATATTATAAACAGACCAAACATTTGTATTACTTCAAAGAAAAACAAATATATATGAATAATATGTAAATCCATGTAACAAACAAGCTTTCCCAATGGAAGATTTCTTTCCCTCTGAGTTTTGGAGCAATCTTCTTGTGGATGGCATACCTGTAACTATTTCAACATCCAAAAGCCATTAGCTTTGCCATTCACTTAAAATAGCTTTGCGACAGGACACAAGGAAGCAGAACTGTCAGAGACAAAGAGGAATATGGGGAGTAGGATAATATAAGCACAGATTTTTCTGGGTCTTGCTACCTTTCACTTTTTTTAAGTCCTGAACACAGTATAAAGAACAGCTTCCACACAGGCTCCTTTGCACTCTCAAATTATGCAATACATGGTATACACTACACTGTATTTATATGCCTTCACATGGTACAGCTATCTGGATCGTACTTATGCTACAAAGCTCAATAGAGCTTTGGCCACTCCAGCAGCAAAGGAAAAGTTCTCTGTACAGATTAAATTCTAATACAAGTAACTGAGGAATAAAGGGAATTGGAAGCAAAATGTAGACTGCTTATATTAACATCTGATGATCTTCTACATGTTTCCAAATAATTTTGTGTTCTGGAGACATGCAATTCTGTGAAAATACTAGAATCATACCATTGAGTGATTTGTGTTGGAAAAGACCTTAAAGCTCATGCAGTTTCAACCCTCTGCCATGAGCAGGGACACATCCCACTAGACCAGGCTGCTCCAAGGCCCGTCCAACCTGGCCTTGAACACTGCCAGGGATGGGACAGCCACAGCTTCTCTGAACAACCTGTGCCAGCTGTCTCACCACCCTCAGAGAAGAATTTCCTTCCCAATTTCTAATCTATCTGTACGCTCTTTCATCTCAGAGCCCTTCCCCCTTGACCTATCACTACACATCCTTGTAAAAATTCCCTCTCCACATTTCTTCTAGGTCCCTGTTAGATACTTTTATTTTAGATGAAAAGAAGTAGTTCCAGTAGTTGTGGCTTTAAGAAGCAACTTGTGACTCCTCAGTACTGTAAGTGAAAGGCAAACCAAAAGTAGAGAAATTTTTAATTCTATGTTTTTACAGAATCTCAATCTAAAAATTTGCACTGAAAATGATTTTTCAAGGCATGATTATCAAAACTGAAACCCAAAAGCCTGATTTAATGAGAAGCACTTTTGTCAAGAATCAGTAGAAAAACATTTCACCAGAAAACTCAAGACAGAAACAGATGATCCAATTTGATATCATCCATAATTTCAGAACTCAAAACTTTTCAATTTTACAAGTTGGTTTTTAATGTTAACGGGACTTACTGTAACAGTCTAATAACATTCACTGTGTTATTAAACAAAGGACTTGAAAAGAACTCAAATGTTGTTAGTGTATTGTTGTACAGTAATGGCATCTAATTCAGAACATATTTTCTGGAATCAAACTGTTTATACAAATACATCAAACACTTCATAGATTCTGCAAATGGAAAAGATAACCAGAAGCATAATATAAACAGAATGAATAGCAGTGCATAGTGGTAGGTCAGCCAAGGCAAGTCATCTGCTCAAAACCTGTTAAAACCTTCACCCAGGAGAAGCACATATTAGACAGTGGACTATTATCGCAAATCCTCCAATGAGCAGATAAATGCAAATAGTTTTTATTCCTGTACTTAAGAATACTTCTTTTTACAATACGTCTACTCTCATTTCTTCAAACCTCATGACTTCAAATATCATAAAACTGATTATTATAAAAAAAAAGACTTGGGATGCTGAGGATCAGCATGGTGAGTTTGCATTCAGTTATATCATTCCCAATGTGCTGCATCATTAAACCTGACAGGACTGGAGAGCCAGCCTCCCAAGACACATATTAGCATTTCCCACTGCTGTAATTATTCTACAGATGCAGGATGTAGGGTCAGTGGAAAAGGAAACACATGTGATGGTGGTGAGACATAGGAACATGTCGCCCAAACAAGTGGCAAATGCTCCATTCTTGGCAGTGCTCACGGCCAGGTTGGACAGAGCCTTGGGCAACATGGTCTAGCATGAGGTGTCCCTGCCTATGGCAGGGAGCTAGAACTGGATGATCTTAAGGTCCTTTCCAGCCCAACCCATTCTGTGATTCTGTGATAGGTTGGGAGGGAAGAGGGGGAGAAGAGGGGGGAAAGGGAAGATAAATAAATAAATAAGACAAGCTTGCGAAATACCTTGTCTTATAATAAAAAAGGAAAATTTTAATATATTCCATCCTAAATTCTTTCTACATTCAGTTCTGCAAGTTCAAACGTCTACAATATTAAGTACAATTATGTAGTCACTGGCCTATACACTCTGCCAACTATATTATGACTATATATATATATAGGGAGAGAGAGATGCATATTCACTTTTTCCAGGCTTTTCAGAAGCAAAAGTGTGTTCTCCTCCTTCACTTTTCTGACCCCAAAATGTTAG